AACATATTGGGCACCAATGATATAAATAATTATCTATCCATATTACCTATGTGAACTGGTCAAATCAACATATTGGGCCAATGACCAAGCACAACATAAAAAAAATAAAGAAAAATTATGGTTGTTCAGTTGAACAAATTTTTGGAAGTAGTTCAGATCAAGAACTTTTCAGCACCTTCTCATATATATATTTTCCACTTAACTAATTCTTTAATAAATTGCTTAGATCTGATTAACTAAAAGAACAAAAGAGTTAATGACTGGTTTTATCTTGCCTTTTAACTTTAACCACTTGGGAGCCAAATATTTCTTTTGTGACATGTCAACAAAATATCAGTCACTTCAAGAAACTCCTTGCTTTCACTGCTTTTGTTAGAATTTATGAATGGTCTGGAATCCCTATCTGATTCACTGCCACAGGTAGAACACCCAAGACAAAGAAATTTCCCCAGATATATTATCAGCTATACTCCAGAACAATCACTACTTTATTCACAGCCATTATTTTATAATTATTTTCTCTACAGTTTTCTTGTCTGCAACTCTAGTCTGAGCATACAATGGCACACTCTCAATTTGTTTTTTACTGGCCAGAAATAAAACCCCACAATGCATCTCTGCTCATCTGCAGCTGCTCTCTCACAGACGTGTATTTGGCTCCCTCTGTCAAATAATTTCATGGTAACTGTCCTGATGAGCTGCTTTTGCAGGTTCCCAGACGTCATGAATTTAAGCGCTCAACCAGGCTGGCATCTCGCTCTAACCCTTTCACTGTCAAAACTGTTAAATGTAGCCATCTCTTCTACTCCAATAGCTTCATGTCTCGCCTGTGGAACACCCTCCCCATTTCTTGTTTTCCTGATAGCTATAATCTCCAACTATTCAAATGTAACATCTATCAATGTCTCCAGATACCCTGATCTATCCCCTAACTTTCTCTCCATCCTTTCCTCTATCACTCCTCTTTGTTCTCGCTCCAACTCTGTAATCCCCTGCGTGCTAGTGGCTTCCCGCCTTGCTTTGGGTTGAATGCTTAAAAAAAAAAAAAATTCGCAATTATGTCAGTGAGCACTAAAAACTAAGGTAGGACTACTGCAAGCTCAAAAGAAAATGAAAGGCGAAAATAAATGTCATAGCGATAAATGAGTACTCAAATACTGTTTCCAATATATTTGGTTAATTTAAGAATTCTCTTACATGGTCTCATGGGATAATTTCTAACATCTCAGACTAACACATTAGTTTTTCTTCTCAGATCTTCCTCACAGCAACTCTCTGACCATCTCAACATCTCAAAATATGATTGGCAATCCTAGTGAGTGGCACCAGAATGAACTAGGTGACTGTCATTGTTAACGCACAATCCAGAACTAAACTCAAACCCCTCCCCACAAGTGCATCTGTTAATAGAAACCTGTCACAGGAAATCCTCAACATTCAGCATTTGTTGTCACTTGACCCATCTCACAAACCTTGTCACTGAATATGGCACATTAGACACAGATAAAATCAAATGCCATCCCTTTCTATGCAGTTGTCCCAAGCACAGTGTTATACTAGGAACAAATTTCTCATACGATACCTCTCTAGGGGTGAAAAAAAAAAAAATGATTTTTGTGATTTAAGTATAAAATATATTTTTTTCACATAATCTATATGTCTTCAAATTCTCATAGATGTATTTATATATCGTTGAATTGCAATAACCAAGTTTTTACTTAAAAAAAGAGAAATGTCAGTTATATTGAAGTGGCTCTTTGGTGGGGAAAAAAAAAACAAGGTTTTAATAGATGTAGAAATACGAAGATAGACAAATTCAGATGCTTACTGAAAATAAAAGCATTGAGGTAAAAGATATATATTTTTAATCATTTCACCCCAAGCAAGGCAATAAAGCCACTAAGATGCAAGGGGTTACTGAGTGTAAAAGAATATGCAAAAAAGAAATCATCATTAAGGAAAGAAAAAAAATAATAAACCAAGAATTAAGAAGGCAGTAGATCACGATTGACATTGCATTTAAATGTCTGAAGATCAAAGTTAAATAGAAAGCAAGAAGTTGGAAAAAAGTTCCACAAACAAGAAGTGCGTGTGAAGAAACTGTCAGCACAGAAGTTATGGTTACATCTATTTCAACTGTAAAATGATGAGAGCTTACAGTTTACCATTGTGAAATTATCCAGATTATGAGTGAAATAAACTGATCAACAGTAATATGTAAATAAAGAGCTATGAAACGGGATTAAATAGTTTGTTATTATTATTATTATGGATTTAGTCTCAGAATTGGAGTGAGCAAAATGTGAACAGCATAAGCCAATATTCTCACCTTACAAACAATAATTAATGGTGAAAATTCAGGTTAGGTTTTTGGTCTTTTCACTTGTGTCACCACTTATCTGACAAAAGGAATAATTATTGTATTAGAACTTAAAACTTAGCAAGGAGGAAACGAAGATCAGAAAAAGACACTGGGCAGATATCACTTCTACTGAAAGCCTCCCCAACACATTACTGGAAAAGACTGGTAACAGATTGCATAAAGATATTTAATAACTTGAGTGATTAGGGACACAGCATGATATATCTTCACCTCAGAAAGATACAAAACTGTGTCATCTCTCCCCAGCTACAAGTTAATAGCAGCATAGAATGAGTCATTTAGCACTGATTGGCAAACAATCTAGGAATACAAAACCAGTTAAGTATGAAGTTAGAAATGCTACTATGGATGATTATGGGTATGTCCCCATTCACATAAATACAGCAATAAATACTGTATGTAGATCTGCAGGTGGAGATTTTGTCTCCAGCTGTGCTGCTCAAACTCTCTGCCTCTGGGCAGAGAGGATCTCCAGACAAAGCTATGTCAAAGGGCAGAGTTTTGCCTCAGGAAACAGCTACCTGACCCCATTTTATACGGGGTCTACAGGGAATTTTTGCCCGATCATACGGGCTCAGATACACCACATTAAATTCAGCCTTGTGCCACATCTGACTGCATTGGGTGGTTGGTAGATATCCTGCAGTTGGAGATTCATTGTGGAATTCACTTGACCCACTTCTAGCAGTTGACTACTTCTATGTGCCGCTGGCGAATCTGATATCTGTTGTTCTTGTCCTAAGTATTATCAATCATTACCAACCTTCATGCTATTATTCTATTCAGTAAACTTCCCTAGGTTACAACGTAAGGAAAGCACATCAATAACACCTATCATGGTGAAAATATGACCATAAGGAGTTTGCAGGATTAAAATATATAACTGTCATGGGTCCTTACCTATAACTACAGAATGAACTCTTCCTAACACTATGTATACTACGCCTCTCAAGAGAGAGGGACGAATCAAGTCAAGCCCATAGTAGTTCACTCCAAACCAGACTGACAGTCATACTAACACCTTCACATCTTGTATTATTATTTTGTGTAATATACCTTCGCTATTTTTACTCTTGTGTCCGTGTTGTTCTTCCTTGGTCCTAACCTGGACCATAACAATAACACGGTTTCATTTAGGGCTGCATAATTTATAAATATATAAATTTATAAATATATCTCCAACCCTATTATTATTACCTGTACTCATGTTTACAATAATACACTGACACTACCAACAGCTAAGTTTTGGCACTATTGACAAGAAAGAAGTCATATTATCATTCTTCTATGTCATGTGTTCCTTCAGAACATGAGCGAACATGGCTCTCCACATCTTCGTACCCATTGTAGCTCTTAGCAAATTTTGTTTTTGCTATCACTCCTAATTCTTGTTCTGCCAGCTATTTACACAAGCTCATTAAGTTGGTTACTCACTGTTTCTCTCTGTTTCTTGAGCCTTCAGTTTGTCCTGTGTGGGCAAAATTCATCATATTTTCTTTCCTTATTATGTATCCTGGAGTTTTCAACTATCCCTTTTAGATACTAAGTATCCTTTTTTTTCATATTCTCCTTAAACTTCCTTATTAGTCACATGCTCTGTCAATGATATTGTTAGCATCCTTCTGTTGAACCACATTTCTGTTGCCTCAAGTCTCTTCTTCATCTATGAGGAGGTTAACCAGCATTCATTGCCATATAGGAGGACTTATATTACATAACATTTCAGTACTCTTTTCTTTGTTTCTAACAAAAATTTTCAAGTTTTGTGATGATTTGCTTAACTTTTGGAAGGCATCTTTCACTATTCCGTTGTTCCTTTAGATTTTAGTGTCACATTTTTCATCATCTGTTAAAACAACTCTCAAATATTTAAATTTTTGCACATGATTTTGGCATCATGAATTTGTAGTTGCAAAAAACCAAAGAACTAAATATGTCATTCGATTAGCCTGAAAAATATACTGGGTTGGCCTAATCTACTTCGATATGTCATTTCTTTTCAGGACACTGGTGATCATTGCTCTCCACAACTTCCTGTCCTTTGTAGCTCTTAATAAATTTCTTCTTTTTGTTATCTCTCCTCAACCCTGTTTGGTCAACCATTTACACAAGTTCACTAGGTAGGTTAAGCATTGTTTACCTCTCTCTTGTCTTCAGTCTGTCCTCTGAGTATCAAATTTTCCAATCCATCTTTTCTCATTATGTGACCTAGAAATTTCAACTATCTCTTCCAGATGTTAAGTATAAGTGTTCATTTTGCTCACATGTTCCGTCCATGGTATACTCCGCATTTTTCCGTAGAACAACATTTTTGTTGCTTCAAGTTTCTTCTTCACCTGTGCAGAGACTGTTTCATATTTGCTGTTATAGAAGAGGACAGTACTCTTTATTTTTTCTTTTCTAAAAAGGGTTGCCCTAGACACAAGGCAAATCATATGATTTTTTGGTAAAAAAAAATAAAACAAACAGGGATGACCAATACCTATAATTGACTTTAAAAGAAAAGATACCATTTTAGCTTCCAAGTCTAGAAAGACTTAATGAACAACTCAACATTAACAAGAGAGAAAGATGCGATCAGTGAATTGAAGGGATCTAAATTCAAACAGATATTTACCTCCGACTGCAGCATTCTTTTAACCTGTCTTTCATGTGGTTCAAGTAGATGTCTTTTTTCAACATGAACCCCAAGCCTGGAAAATCTTCAACACGATAAAGCAGGGAACGATTTTCTGAAGTATTCTCATAACCTGAAAGAAACCAAAATGGAAAAAAAAAATAGCATAATTGTTAACTTTTTCTCATCAGAATCCATCTTACACATTAATAAATCAATCACTTATCCGTGCATTGAATATTGCTGCCATAACTGGTCTTGTGCTCCTGTTATATATTTCAAGATTCTCAACAAAATCTAAAGAAGGGTCTTCTAAGATGCACACGGTTACCGAGTGTTAGAGAATATAAGAAAAACATAATATTAAGGAATGTGGACAATAAACGAACTAGAATTAAGAAGAAAGAAGATAATGATTGACATTTCATTTTAATTTCTGAAGATCAAAGTTGACTGGAAAGTAAGAATATTGAAAGAGAATTAAAAGACTTTAGTGAGGAGAAGGACAATAAAAGAAGAAGAATTAAGAAGACAGAAGATAATGATTGACATTGCATTTTAGGAGATCAAAATTGACTGGGAAGCCAAAAGAAAGTTCCATAAGTGAGAAGTGTGAGAGAAGAAAATGTTAGCATAGAACTCACAGTTATGTCTAGTCATTTCAACTATAAAACAATGAGACCTTGCCAACAATCTAGTACTGTGCTTAAATTCATAAAATCTAGCACCATAGAGGAAAGTTCATCAGAACAATTACCATGAAAGTATTTACAGAAAAGGCATAGGGAAGCTACATTATGGTGGTGAGAAAAGGGACTGAAGCCAAAATGCCAGGTCAGGACTAATAATATTGCAGAGCAGCAGCACTAGATCAAATGTGGCAGCAATATTCAAAGCAAATGCAAATGGTAGCATCATAAATATAATCTAATGTCTAATGTTCTTGGCCCTGATCTGATTTCAGCATGATATGGCTTTCCTCCATATTATTTATAAATATTTTCATGGCAAATGGTCTAATTAGCTATCTGCCTTGCTAACTCAACTGTGTGAATTTACAGTTGAATTAGCTAGATGTAATTGTAAGTTCTATTCTAATAGTTTCTTCTTTGACACTTCTTCCCTGTGGAACTCTCTTCCAATATCTTGTTTCCCTTCCACGTACAATCTTTAAAAATTTAATTGCAACATCAGTCCCAATTTTCTGTCTTCCTGAATCCTGTTCTTTTATTTTATTTTCTCCTCACTAAAGTCTTATCATTCACTTTCCCTCCCAGTAACCCCCTTGTATCTTAGGGGCATTATCATTTTGCTCAAAATGAAATGATTAAAAAGGAAAACAAAAAAAAACTACTGTTTTAAGATGTTGTCTTTTTTTATGCATTGTAGGACAAGGGGTGATCATAGCTATGCACAATTACCCACACCCCCAGTCTCTGTTCTGCCATCCATTTACAACTCATTAGACAGGTTACTTGATGTTTCCCTCTGTCACTCTTGCCTTCAAGTTGCCTTGTGAGTATCCAGTTCTCCAAACCCTTTTTTTCTTTTTATATATCTCTGACTGATACCTTTTCACTAATAAAGTACATCTTGTTAATCCTAATTCTGGTATGATTTTAATGAATTGCTCAATACTTCTTTGATATAAGTTTGTTTTGCTTTTTTTTAATAAAAATTCAACTTAAAATACTAACAATTTATTTCACATTCTTTTGTGGCATTTTAACTTGATAGATTAATAAGTGACAAAGAACTGTTGGAAATGCAAGGTTACCTTGAAATATATGGGAAGGATATTACAATAATAATTAACCGAAATGCTCCTCTGTGGCTAAATCAGTAAAGCACATCAAGCTATATGATGGTTCCTTACAGGATACAGGTTCAATTCCTGTCAGAGGACGCATATCTTCTATGAAAAATTTCTCGGATATTCAGGCCAGTAAATGTTAATATTATAAACAGAGCATTTACTTAAATACTTGTATCTATAAAAAGAATGTATAAGCATAAAAAATATCTTAATATATATATATATATATATATATATATATATCATCATCATCATCATCATCATCATCCTCCTCCTCCTCCTCCAGTTCCTTGAACAAATTCTCATAACTCTCTACCACCATCCAATTCTATTGATCATCATATTTGGCAGGTCAGAGGGATTTCAGTTTGTGTCGTCACAAATGATATAGGAATTAGCGTGTCCTCCTCTGCAAAATCTACTTTCATTAACAATTTTTCATCTTTAATTCTCCAGAAGTGCCCTGTGAATCTGACTGTGCTATTCTTTTCATTCATAACGGATTTGGAGGTTTTTGTATATTATTTGAATTGTTTGCGACGATGGATTTCTCGCCAATTAAATCATTAACCTTTGCATTTGTTTTTGTGTGAATAATTCATGAATTTGTAAATTGATTGCACGTTTTCTAAATATATATATATATATATATATATATATATATATATATATATATATATATATATATATAGCGTTGACCCGTGCTTGATTCAAAAATAGTACGACTCATACAGCAATCACTATCACTTGACTTAAAATATTTTTGACCTTCCTTGCCTTTAAAGGAGTGCCCTTTGCCATGCTGATGTTGCTACATGCCTTACTTCTTGCCTATCTCACACTGCGATCTTTTTCTAAGCTCTATACTAAATATTAAATCTGTTACAAAAAAAGAACTAAACAAAATGAATACAAAATGATCAGCTTTAAAAAAGGACTCGTAACTGGAAAAACCAAATGAAAAAAGAATGTTAACAAATACTTTTTCACACCCAACCCAGTTCTGCAGAATCAGAATGAACATTGAGTTTAAGCAAGCAAATGAGCCAATTGGAGTAAAGTGCCATGCAGATTTAAATTTTTCCCACTTGTGACGAATGCAGCTATCATTTTTTTTTCCATGCCAGCATGCTAGTTAAAATTCATGTCAGTTAGCTGTTGGCTCTCACGCTGGCCAATAGAATTTTCCTGCCTATTTGTGGCAGCCAGCTATAGGCTCTCACTCTGGCCATTAGAAAATGGCAGCAAAATACATAAAAACTGCTGTAGAAGCAGGAAAAAAATCGATTATTTCCACTATCGATGGGAGTTGGGAAATGCAATGTTGGTCTTGGCCTTTCTGCTAACTTGGAGCATGTGCATGTAAATTTTTGTGCAAATCCATCAAAAATTGCAACTGCACATTCGTTACATACACACACACACACATCCTGCCTTATATATATATATATATATATATATATATATATATTTAAATGTATATTTGGCCAGCAATATTTTTTAAACATGTTCTGTTGAATATGAAAGAAGGGAGGTTTAATTAATTTTTTCATTTTTCTAGCATTCTTACATTTTTCCATTTTGTGTGAGTAAGGGAGTGCTAAAATTGTCTGTATTGTCCATTGTATCCAGCCACTTCTTTAACTATTTTTAAGGGGGTTTGTTTTGAGATGTTATTAATTTCTCTTCATGCTTGATTATATATGATGTGCTTTTGTGTTGTTTTGAATACTAGTAGAGGCATTTACACCAAGGTTTGCATGTTGAGCACAGTTCAAGAGGGAATCTTTCTAGTGTTTTTAAAAATTTTAACAACCCATTACCAGTGCTAAATAAGGTGAGCTTGATTGTGGGAGATAGATGTTTTATATACAAGGCCTCTCTCACGGGGAGATATCTCCTATATACCAGGTGTAACAACAAAATTATCCAATTGCATGACAGTATAGGATAATTATCCATTCCACAAAATGTTTAATATCTAAAAAGCCACTAAATTGATTTTCTTTTTTACAGATTTTTAGATAAGATGTTTAGCCATCTTGTCACCATGTGTTGTAAGAATCACTGAAAAAACATTTGAGTTATTCAGCAAGAAATTATTTTGTGTCAGCCACACTATGTCTTCCCAACTGAGCAATCGTGAGAGGAAAAAAGATCATTCAGGCCTTTAGTAATGGTACCAAAATTCATACTTTGGCTTCCATCTTCAAGTTCCATCAAGAGAATGGTGAATAAGTTTAAAAAAGAAGGGACAGTAGAGAGGAAAAATGAATCAGGCAGACACAACACCAAGAGAGATCATCATTTCAACTTCAAGCTAAATACTTTCTTTTTGTTCCAAGTAGAATCCAATAGAGTTATTAAAACCTCAGAGAATTCCAGTAAAATATCTTTAATCATTCCGAAGATACAATGGTTCAAAGTTTAGTCTAATAATTGGAGAATTTTACTGTTACACCTGGTATATATATATATATATATATATATATATATCTATCACAGTTTAACTAATCCTGAACATTTTTATAATCACTTTCTTGTTATTGTTATTATTGATAACTGACTAGTTTGTACTGATATAAATGAAAAGGTGTTGATATTTTGCCATTCCTTTTTAACACCATTATATCATTTCATATAAATATTTATGATTATACAAGAAACTTGGATATGCAGGTGGCGTAGTGGATACTGGCTTGGTATCAGAAATCAGAGGGACAAGTTCAAATTCCAGTCAATTTCATTACATTCACTTATGTGCAAATATACTTGGGGAAAGGTATGAATCCATCACTTTTCCTCTCACCAGTTATGTGCTAAATAGTATCTGAAAAAAATCATTATCATCACCAAAAAATAATGAATACAGAATTCATTTGTAAAAATAACTCTTCTTACAATCCAAAAAATGTGTTTCAGCTTTAAATAGCCCACAAAGGGCAGGTAACTCATAAAAAAATTCAGTCAATTCCTTTTCAAAAAATATAAAGGAAAGAATAACTTATAAATTATAACAGAAAAAAAAAATTATTTCTTTGAGAAATGTCATTAACATTAGAAATTTTGTTTGGAGAATTTTACTTTATTTTTCTGTTTTTTTAAACATTAATGAAGGCTGGAAACTGGGTCAAATGAAACATGGTCAAGAACATAAAGAAGTTCAGATACTTAAAGATAATTCTGGAATGTCACTTTTTCAGTTCTGCATATTATATAGGCAAACAGAAACAAAAAGAAAACCTGAACCTACCATTATAGTTCCAAGCTGATACTGCAAGCAAAGAAGTGTCAACCTCCAGAGCAGGTAAAGATTGAGCCATGTAAAACAGGAAGTCTGGTGACAACAACAGTTCTTCTTCAATGAAGATGATATGTTCCTGAAAAAGAAAAAAAAAAAAAAAATAAATAAATAAATAAAGTAAGAGAAAGCAGAGTTTTTATTTTTATTCATTTTTATTTTTTTTTTAATATTTTGCCACTTGTCTGCTCATTGCTGTAATATCTAGGTTGGAGCAACCTAATCTTCATTTTCCAGCATTGACAGAGTGGGTGATGAATTATTTTCAAACGTATAGCCACTTTCCTATGGATGAAACATTGTAAGTCTATTGCTATTTTGATGGCATATGTTCTGATGAACTATAATTCTTAGTTTCACAAGTTCAGACCTTTAGAGCTGGGATATACAATAACATGTACACAAGGTCAAAACATCCTCAGTCTCTTCATATTTCGTTGATAAGAAGGAAGTTCTACTCAGAATTCTGGAATTTCCCTACTAGGGAAACAAGAAACAACCGTAACTGAAACTGACTTTCGGCCTAATTCTGTTGAAGGCCTTTGAAAAAGAATGATGAAAATATATGTTTTCTGCTGACATGACAGAGCATAATTCATTGTGCCTCCTCAGACTAATGCTTTCCACTGATATGAAGATTATATTGAATCAAATGCCAGTTCTGCTATTACAAAAATTGGTTCACTGTATCATAATGGACAGTTTTTCCTGCCAGAATCTAACTTATGTACCATAAATTACAGCATACAAGATGATGTCAAGATTTTTAGTTCAAAATTCTGAGTTAGGCTTAGACCTACCATATAGATTGAGATACAACTTATTGTAATGTTTTTAAAATGATATAATATCCTAGAGTTAAGGTTTTAATCATCAACAGAACATGGCAACTTTTACATAACCTTTAAAATAATGCCATACCATCATTTTTTTTAAACATTTCATGCCAAGCAAGGTGGGAATGCCACTTTTATGCAAGGGGTTACAAAGAGTGAAGGCGGAAGGAAAAGATTGCGTATAAGTGGGACTGAGGAAAGGATAAAAAGCTGAATGCAGTTCAGGAAGAGAGAAGATGGTGATTGATGTTGTAATTAAATTTTTGAAGATTGTAGTTATCAGAGAAGCAAGGAAATGGAAGGGAGTTCCACAAGTGGGAAGTGTGAGAAAAGAAACTGTTTATATAGAATTGGTAATTACATTTACCTAATTCAACAGTAAAGGGGTGGGACCTAGAGGCCAATCTAGTAGCATATTTAAACTCACATAGTCCAGGCACCAGGAAAAAAATCTTGTCAGAGCAGTTGACATGAAAATATTTGTAGAAAAGACAGAGGTGAAACCACATCACATTGGTGAGAAAGAGACTGAAGTTACCAAGTCGGGATTGGTTACAATGCAGGTCTTTCTTTGGCTTTTGTCAAAAACCTTGATGAATAAGTGTAGATTTGTAAATGTGCAAAATGGATGAGAAAAAACTTCTGGCACAACACAGTGAGCCAACTTTCCTTGCAGTAGATGCAGCTATTGATTCAATGTAGTCATTCCACTTCAAGTCAGTTGAAAACATGAGGCCAGAAGCTGCAGTGTGTTGCTCTCCATGAGTCTTGAACCAGCCATGCTGATGGTGAGCAGGAAAGATTCTCTGTAGTGGTTAAATGAGAGCGGTTTCATTTTGGAGGCATTAAAATTTCCAAGCCATTTCCTGCCCCAGTTAGCCACTGATTAGAGGTCCTTTTCAAGAGCAGCATCTGACAGATTTGCAGTTGAGACAGTTGTAAATGGTAATGTCATCAGTATAAATGCCTACTTAAGAAATGATAATGCGTTGTTTGAAACATTTAGTTCAAATTGAAGGTCTAATCAGTTGTTTAAGCATCCTGCATTAGTTATGTATTTTGTTTTAATCATTTCTCCCTAAACAAAGCAATAAAGCCACTAAGATGCAATGGGTTACTGAATGCGAGAGAATATGAGAAAAAGAAACTATTAATAAAAAAGAAAAATAATTAAGAATACTGAAGATAACAATTGACATTTCATTTTAAAGATCAATGTTAACTGAGAAGCAAGAAATCGGAAGAGGCTTCCACAGGCAAGAAGTACAATAGAAGAAACTGTTAGCACCCAAAATACATAAATAATGCAGGATAGTTAAACAACTGATTAGACCTTGAATTTGAGCTGAATGTTTCATAGTATGATTTGCAAATACGCTTTTAAGTAGGCGCCCAAGAGGGTCGTCAGTGATGTTTTTGACTTGGTTCATCAGGGAGTTTCGGGTCTTTCAACATCATACTCCCCATCACCAAATTGACCCAATCAGGAGAGATCAACCCCTGATTCCCCCTTCTAATTAAACGCTAACAACCACTCTGGCCTTTTTAAAGAATAAGAGGAAGAAAGACCACATATTCCGCACATTTGATTGGATGTTTGTAACAACCAATCCGGTGCGCAAAATATCTTTTAAATGGCCCGCGGTGGGGACTGGCTTCTTTTCTTAATTCGGTGGATTGCAGTTTCGATGGATAACCAAGGAGGTAATCTCAATGTTCCTAAATCTTCTTAAGTATTGTATGATTTAATTATTATTTGCCGTTTTTATTTTATTTGTACTTTTTTCTTTTCTTTTGGCAGGGATACTTAAACTCAACCCTATTATCACATTTTATCATTTAGACTGTTTCATAACATTATTGCATGTTAACTTTTGTTGGATGTATTCTCAAAATTAAGATAATAATTGTCCATAAACATGGCATATATATATATATATATATATATATATATATATATATATATTTCCCGTACATACAAAAATGAAAGAAGACTCAAAGACAGCCTTTGAGAATCAATGCATTCAGTGTTAAAATGCTTAATAAGTTTCTAAATTCTTTAAAATAGTAATTTTTCACACATATTTGTGAGATGCTTATAGAAAATTAAAAGAATTTTTTTTATATCCATGAAGTGTATTTGATAATTAACTCCACTGTAAATAAATTTTTTTGTGAAAATGGGTATTTCGAACATATGTTTTACTGATTGCATCAGACAGGTGATATGTAAAAATTTTACTTCAATAAATTATTCTAATAATTCTCATGTTTTTTAATTAACTGTCTATAATCTTCCCAAATTCAAACTTCTTCAGTATTTTTATTGACAGATTTATTTCAATTTGAAGATTCAAATTATTAACACTTGAAAGAAAAAAAAAAAAACACTATTTGCTAAAATTTGCATTTAAAGAACACATGGATCAATAAAATTCATCATCCTGGGTATGATGATAAACTACATCCGGCAGCAAAGCCTCTGATTGGGAGGTTTTGAGAAGCATAGAACCATCTCTTAATTGCTGTTATTCCCAGGTCCATCCTGGCCCAGGGTAGTACCATCTGTTAGGGTCCCAGATATGGACAAATAGTGAACTCCCAAACTGGGATCAAAACATGAATGTATAAAAAATATATTACAAAAAATTACAAGCAATTTTTCTTAAATGATAAGCTGTTAAATAAACAAAAGAACAATAAACATCAAGTCCAATAAAAACGTACCAGGCATCAATTCTGTAAAACATAGCAACTATGAAGAACAAACATGATATATAAAATATTAATTCAAATATTATGAATTATTATCAGAAAAAAGTACACTATTTCTTTAGTAAATAATACATTTCATTTATTATTTAAACTTGACCACCTTTCTTAAAAGTAGTGCCCTTAGAAACATATACAATGATCCTGGTGCTTCTTCTAGGCATGATTAAGTGTCATGGGCTGATGAACAAACTTTGAGGCAATGCAATGCATGTTTTGAAGTTTTTTGTTGAAATCTTCTGCCAGACTGTATAAATGATTCCAGTCATGTGAGTCTGGTGGTATTTCTCATTTGATTTGTTCAGAATTTATTTTTTTAAATATTTTACGCAGTATTTTTTTTTTTTTTTTATATTTATTTATATAGTATTTATTTTTTAAATATTTTATGTTGTATTTATTTATTTTATTTATTTATATAGTATTTATTTTTTAAATATTTTATGTAGTATTTATATTTTACATTTATTTATATAGTATTTATTTTTTTAAATATTTTATGTAGTATTTATTTTTATTTTTTATATTTATATAGCATTTATTTTTTAATATTTTATACAGTATTTATTTTTTACTTTTTATATTTATTTATATAGCATATATTTTTTAAATATTTTTATACAGTATCTATTTTTATATTTATTTATATAGCATTTATTTTTTAATATGTTATACAGTATTTATTTTTTATATTTATTTATATGGCATTTATTTTTAATATGTTATAGAGTATTTATTTTTTATATTTATTTATATGGCATTTATTTTTTAATATTTTATACAGTATTTATTTTTTATATTTATTTATATAGTATTTATTTTTTTTAAATATTTTGCATAGTATTTCTGGTGATTAGTCGCTCTGAATGTTCATAAATTTTAACCAAATCTTGAAATGTGTGAAACTCAAAAACCAGTGTTTAACCTGAGGAATGTTTGCCCAAAACCTGAACAGGAAACTTGTTAACAGATCTGCAGAGATTCATGCAAAAACTGATACAAGCATGTTGCTCGATTTTGTCAGCCAATATAAAGTTCTCTGAGTCTAACAGGTTTTAGATAAGTCTGGTGATGTTTGGTCTCTTGCTTTGGATATCTCAAGGACATTCCACAGGGTTTTGCATACTGATCTTCTTCACAAATTGAAAGGTTATGGCATTTCTTTGAAAATTTTTGAAATGATTCAGTCTTTCTTATCAAATCGTGTAATGAAAGTTGTCTTGAATGGCCACTCTTCTAGATCTTTTTGCATTAATTCTCCAGGGCTCTATCCTTGGATGTACATTGTTCTTCATTTTCATAAATTATCTTCCTGATGTCCATACTTCAGCTCCACACTCACAGGATATAGCAAAAGCAAGAGAGAGAGAAGGAAACTGTGAGTAACCTACGTAATGATTTTGTGTAAATGGATGGATGAACAGGGAGTGTGAGGGGAAAAAAACACTTCTTAAAAACTACAAAATATAGG